CCCTCGACCCCTCCCCGCCGCCCACGGAAAACATCAGCAGGGGAATGGAATCCAGTGTCAAGTTTAAGGTCGCTTGAGGGCCTTGGCTAGATTTTTTGCCAAACAGTAAATACCTAGGTCTAATATCACCCTGTGTATAAGTTAGAGTACACAAGAATCACCTGCGAAGCTTGCTAAGATGTCGTTTCACCAACTAACCCCTACAGATTCCAGTACACAGCAACTGGAATTAAGTCCAGGAAAATTCACTTTTCAACAGATCCTCCTATGAATGTGATTAAGGTGGTCAAAGTTCACAGTCCAAGAAAACAGTACATACACACACACACCCATTGGTTTTTTCCCCATCTAGTAATACTTTTTACTAAATGTACTTCCTAAAGTTGAGTGGTTGGTAAATGCAAGTAGAACTTTATTAGAAAATTTCCCATAAATTAAAACTTCCCCAATATTCCATTTCTTAGCCATGACTGAATATTCTCCAAGAAAGAAATTTTAGACAGAATTCTGCAAGAAATGTATATTTCCCTGTTACACCAAGAGGATTAGTTTCTAGCTAATGAATTTCTCCCCATACTTCTGAGCTACGGACATTTCTCTCATTAGGCCACTAAGGATTTAAAAACCTGCCAAGTTGTAGTGCATTCTACTTGGTTTTCTTGAATATTGGGCTTACTTTTAAAAATTAAAGCAAAAACATAATTAAAAAAATACTTTAACAAACAGAAATTTCTCAGATATAACATTTTGACCAGTTGAAGTTTTCCTGTAATAAGTAATTGAGTTAAACATGATAATACAGAACTTCTTTTTAAAAGTTATTTATAAACACTTTGGTTTTTCTAGAGCAGTTTTAGGTTTACAGCAAAAACCTTCCTTTGAGAGGAAGGTGCAGAGATTTTTCCCTACACATGTATAGTCTTCCCCCATTACCAATATCTTTCACCAGAGTAGTGATGAAAAAGCTGCTATAAACATCTGTGTGCAGGTTTTTGTGGGGACATATGTTTTCAAGTTCTTTGGGTAAATACCAAGGAGTGTGATTGCTGGATTGTATGATAAGAGTAAGGTTTTGTAAGAAACCGCCAAACTGTCTTCCAAAGTAGCTGTACTGTTTTACATTCCCACCAGCAATGAATGAAAGTTTCTGTTGCTCCATGTCTTGTCAGCATTTGGTATTGTCAATGTTCTGGATTTTGGCCATTCTGATAGGTATGTAGTGGTATTACATTGTTTTTAATTTGTATTTCCCTGATGACACATGATGTGGAGCATATTTTTATATGCTTATTTGCCATCTGTATATCTTCTTTGGGGAGGTATCTGTAAAGGTCTTTGATCCATTTTTTAGCTGGGTTGTTTGCTTTCTTATTGTTGAATTTTAAGTGTTCTCTGTATAGTTTGGATAACAGCCCTTTATTAGATATGTCTTTTGCAAATATTTTCTCCTAGCCTATGGCTTGTCTTTAAATTTTTTTTACACTGTCTTTTGCAGAGCAGAAATTTTAAATTTGATGAAGTCCAGCTTACCCAGCATGGCTTTTGAGCCAATTGAAGGTGCTGCTTTGAAGATTTATGGTTGAAATAGTGGCACTTCATAAGACACTAGGAATATAAAGCTGAATGCATAAGCATCTTGAAATATGGAGGTGCTAAAAACATTGAATAAGAAAATAAAAAAACTAAATATATGTATACATTTCTTAAATTGTTTTCTCTCTTCCACTCTTAGGATGTGTAGTCACGAAGAGAAGTAGCTATATAATTCCCCTATGTGCAAAACATGCATGAATACTGGCAGAATTATTTTAGATGAATGAGTTTTGTGCTAAAATGGTGTCAAACATTTTTCTTTTCCTATAATGATGATAAATTTTTTAGACTTGCCATGCAGTATGTTTTATGAAGGTTAGGAATTGAGTTGAAACATTTATTTGAAGAATAATCTTTTAAAAGAACAACATAATTTTACTCCAGTTTTCCTTCACTCATGTTATTATATACCACAGGCTATCAAGCAGTGATGTGGCATTGGTGGTGGAGTAGGGTGGGATGAAAATGGGGAACTGCAGGTGTATTAAAAATATTCGGGGACCTGTTTTTAAACTGCTTAATATTTTATTGAGAGTTCTAAATATAAATTGAGGGACAAGAAAACCTGCCAGTATAAACACTTACTACAACTTGGAACATCAGAAATGATCTCAGTCAAATCTTGATGTGAAAGATCACTACTAAAAGAATTTGATTGACTTATTTAAGATGACATCTGGACTAGTTGTTTGTATCTCAGGGTCTCCAACTAAAATGCCTATGAAAAGTCAGGAAAATACGAGAACTCATTATAGCATTGGAAGGTAGAACTGATGATGATGCCACTGTTTATGAAAGAGCGAGCTGGACTCACTTGCCAAGCCTTGTCCCTTTCAGCCTGAGTCTTCCCAGAGTGGTGCCTTTTTAAAATTCATACAAAGGCACTATAAGAGTAGTTGTAAACTTACTGATAAGCAGCTTAATGCTAGAATTTGATAGGATTTTGCACCTGTATGAACTGTGGCGTTGAAATGAGCATGCACCAACCTGCTGGCCTGAAGGATAGTAAGGAAGCTACTTGCCTCCTGGCACCTACCAGTGAATTAGATGGTAACTCCACTACTATGTGTGACCTATAAGTAGTATTTTTCACCCCTTTGTCTCAATGTCCCATTAGTACCTTTCACTATTACCCATTTTGAAGCTATGGTTTGGAGAATACCAATAATACTCCAATGGGAGTAGACAGATGTGATGCTCTGCATCCAAGCAAGTGAAGCCAATAATGAAGGGGGCTGGGCACACAGAGCTGGGCATATAACTCTCCCTAGGGTTTAACTTTTCATAGATGGTTCCTATCAAGAAAAAGACCAAAAACTGTTTATGATTAATCAGGAATTCTCTTCTTCATAGTAAAATAACTAGGCAGCAAGGATAAGGGATCTCATCTCAGCCCAATGCCCACAGTGACAAAGTTAGTAAATGTCTTCTTCAAGCCAAAAAGTTAGCTATGAACTGTGCATGTCTATTGCCATTTACTAACCACATGACTTTACTAACCATATGCTTCAGGTTCTTTATCTGTCAAATGTGATAATAATAACACTTGACTCAAAGTTTGTGTGTATTTGTACGATAAAATAATATATGAACAGGGCCTGGCCTACAGGAGGAACTCAATAAATATTGGCTAACATAGAAAATTTTTGTAACTTAGTAGGTGGCTCTACAGGCAGTTGATTTTTAGTGTAAATTAGTAGTCATAATTATCACTTAACATATCTTTGAATGTTTACACTGAGAAAGCCCAGATATTGGACTTACTAGAGAAAGACATCCAATCATCTTAAATATGCCCAAAGGGCTAAAGGAAACCATGGACAAAAAAACTAAAGGACATCAAGAAAACAACGTATGAACAAAATGAGAATATCAACAGACATAGAAATTATAAAAAGGAACCAAATAGAAATTCTGGAGCTGAACAGTACAATAACAAATGAAAAATTTATTAGAGGGGCTTAACAGCAGATTTGAGCAAGCAGAAAAAAAGGCCAAAGAATGTGATGATAGGACAATTGAAATTATCCATTTGGAAGAGGAGAAAGAAAAAATTTGAGGAAAAAAAAAAAAGAACAGAATTCAAGTGACCTGTAGGATACCATCAAGCTGACCACCATATGCATTATGAGAGTCTTGCAGGAGACGTGAGAGAAAAGGAACAGAAAAAATATTTGAAGAAGTAATGGCTGAAAACTTCCCAATTTGTAAAAGACTGAATCTGTGCATTCAAGAAACTCAATGAATTCCAAGTAGGATAAATTCAAAGAGATACATACACACTGAGGTACATTATAATCAAACTATCTGATGGAGTTTGGATGTGTTGTCCCCTCCAAAACTCATGTGGAAATTTGATCTCCAATGTGGCAGTGTTGGAAACTGATTGAGTCATGGGGGTGGATCCCTCATGAATGGATTAATGCTCTCCCTGGGGGAGGGGGGATTAATGAGTGAGTTCTTGCGCTATTAGTTCCCGTGAGAGCTTGTTGCATAAAAAGACTCTGGCACCTTCTCTCTCTTTCTTGCTTGTCCTCTCACCATGTGATCTGCTTGTACCTGCCGGCTGCCTGCCAC